ATGAAAACAAAAACGCATATTGACGAGAAGTCGTCGGTGCATTTATGTGCGTGTGTGTGTGTGTGTGTTCGCACTTCCTCAGCAAGTCTTGAAGTTAGGAAGCGGAAATTTTTGGAAAAAATATTCCGATGCGCCAATTTAAAAAAACAGCCATTACTCACGTACGAAAATCTAAATAATTTATGTAAATTTTTTTGTACGGAAAAGGATTTCGGGAACTGGACAAGGTAGGAAGCCAAAGATATGTTTTTGAAAACGTGAGCGTATATCATTTGTGCATGACAATTCATTTGATGGCAGCTGGCAAAATGCCAACTCCGGAACAAAGTTGAAGGGGTTTTTTTTTGATTTTGCAAAAATATATTTCCTGCCTATGTGAGAGCTCCTATGCATAAAACGAGCGCTGGCTTAGGCCTGTACCACGCGCATGAAGATGCCAGATTATTTTTGACGAGAAAGCGATTATGGAAGTCAGTTGAACTAAAAGGCTGAAATTTTCTGAGGATATGACGATGTGCGCGAGTCCTAGCGAATTCACTGCAGTATGATCGTGCAAAAATGCATGATCGTACAAGCAAGTCTGATGCATACTGCAACTGATTTCGCTGCATTAAAGCAAATGCAACGCGCATTACAGCACCTACTGCCGAAACTGTCTTAGCGATGTGATATTGTGGCTGGAAAAGTTTTCGGGTGAATATAAAATTTGGCCAAATTCCGCTGCGATAATTTTTTTGACCCGAATATCGTATAAGAACCCGCAAAGCTGTGGATTCACAGCTTGCTCCAGTCTGATTTTATATCTCAACTCGTATCAGGAAGTGCAGGTAAAGGTCAACAAGCAAAGGTTTTGGAAGACTAATACTAGGGATTTCATCCGATCGTAGCATGAATAATGGTTCCTTCCACAAACCGAAATCTTGAAACAACCTGAATGCTAACCCTAAGCCATAAAGTAGGATTTCGTAGAGTATGGAACCATCTCTTCTCCTTCTATCAATTAGTGATTCCAGAATGAAGATTTTTAATTTCCAAATTACAATCAAATTCCGACTTTTTCAACTGTGCAACGTATTAAAAGCACCAAGTTTTTTTTCCGTACTGGCTTTTTCTTTGAGTTTTAGCTTCTATTTACATGAATATGGTCAGAAAAAGTACAGAATGAAATCTAATTTTCGGTCACAACCCTGAATTATGATGTGAAATCCGAAAATCCTACTAGTTCGATGTTATAAAAATAGTAAAAAAAAAATACAAAGAAAAAATGTGGATCCAAGACCATAAGTTTTTAGGTTTTAAAACAGGATCTAGGCCGATTATTCAGCATTACAGCAAAGTCAAAACAGAAGATGGAATTTTATAACTTTTCCCAACTTATTCTAAATTCATTTTTGGGCCACAGGTTCGGGTGGGAAACAAATGTATCTTCAGGCAAAGGATGGGCAAAATTCAGATTTTCAGATTCGTATTTTTCATTTCTGGAGCTAGTTACACAGAAAGGGCAGGCAGACAGACAGAACAGACCTGGTAATAAAAGTTTTGCTAATTTCTGAAATATATATTACAGAAAGGGCATAAAGAATTTATTGCACATGCGATCTTTCAAACTCCCACTGTAATGCTCATTATTAGGTCCAGACTAAGATTCTTTTCAAGACCACACACATGTACACAGAAAAATTTGTCCTATGCAAATATGAAGCAGCAAATGTACGCCATCTGAGAGTAATCACTGAAAGGAGCCGCTCCGGAGAAGTAATTTCACGAAGCAAAACGAAGTGCCTTCGCGGAGGCCGTAAAATTACAGAGATATGATTGCGAATGTGCTGCCTTGGTAAACATCCGGTTATTATAACTGAGCAGCGAACAACTGAGGTAGCCGGTTGTCCAGAACCAACCCCAACTCACCAGTGCAGTTCATTATCTCTAGAAAACTTCCAAAAAAAAGCATTCGAGAGGCCTTCGGAAATAACGACTGCTCAGTGACCTTCAAAGCGCCAAGCATCATACAACTTTTCAGGATACTCCCTTGCCTCTTCCGAAAAAACAGGGCACACTTACTTCCAGGAAGTGAATAGTGAAGCACAAAACAAAATACAGGAACACTAGCCAGCAGAATTTAAAAAAAAATTGCTGATTGTAAAGCAGGTCTTAACAATCTACTTTCGGTTAAAATCAAAAAAATTCAAATTACGAAAGAAGCAGGAAAGCAAACCTTTTGCAACGATGCGCTGACCGGAAAGGAAGTTTGCATCGCAGTTCTCTGGTAGTGGTGTTCGAGAATTTTCAACGAAGAAAAGCACTGTGGATGGCACTAGGCCACGTTGCCGCAAACGATATTCCAGGCAATCACGAAGCTTCTGCCCCGGATATGGCTGAACTTTTTCCGGGGCACCAACTGTCCGGCCTGTAAAAAAAAATATATCTTTTACTTTAGTAGCCTGTCACTTGCTTTTCCATCGCCGTGTTTCTCACAAAAATAAGAATACAAAAACGTAAAACGAAATAGTCGAAGTACTGGCTTTAAATTTTAATGCTTTATTTATTGTAACAATACATTTCCCTAATTTCAGCTGTCATGCAAAACGCAAGCACCGTGATTTAATTAGTTTGCAGAAAGCTAGACTCCTCATGCACCCGACAACACTACCAATCATTACATCTCCATCAAAAAATTTCTACTTGCGTCAGCTGTCTAAGCCAGAAGTTTGTTGGTGCGATCCTCTGTTTGTTGTTTATAGATCAAGTATTTGTTCTGGATTTCAAGCACAATAATTTAAAAAATGTTTCATGCACAATAATTTAAAAAGGAGCACTTCTGCAAGCGTGTTAGTGTGCGAAAAAATGGCACAGTTGTGGCACATAACTGTGTCAGTGTTGCCTATCATTAGTAGGTGCTGCTAACGGCTTGTTTCCATAATTTCGACGAAGTTGCAGTATTCTGGAAGAATTATTTTACAACAGGCCGGGTAATGGCTGCGGCAATTTCGAACTCAAAAATTTTGATGGTACAATAACTGGCTTTTCGTCTCAACAGCAGCCTCAGCACAAATTAAAAAAGTTTTTATAAGAATTTTATTGGTGTACAATATTCACAACTTTTGACCTGTCCTCTTCTCATCTGATATTTTTTACGATGTTATTAGTGTTTTCAAGATTTTATTGATCGGTTTTGCCATATATCTAATTTTTTGCTTTTTGAATGCTAAAAACACCTTTCGGGATTGTCAGAGGAGAACTCTCGATTACATAAAAATGCTTGTCAATTTTGAGCCTCCTGTCCAGTCACAAACAGAGATGTACAATTTTTCCATTAGCTATTAAATGACTGAAACTTCTCATATTTCTCTTCCTACTTCTTTAGCATTTGTCCACTACATCAAGGCGATTCCCTGAAGTCTTTCTTTCGCAGTTTTTTTTCTTAATTTTTTATATCCAGACTTTTATTTGCTGAAATGCATTATGCACCGTTAGGTCAGAATTACTGAATCAAAGTAAAAAATCGAAAAAAAAAAATTCGATTGGCCATCACAGTGGAAGTCAAGGAAATTTTGGCGGAACATGTTCTGCGGGGCTTTTTAAGGAACGGGATGAGTTAAAAAAAAAGAATTTTTGAGTGACACTTAAGAATTTTCAACGCATAAAAATTTTAAGAATGCTACTAATTTATAATTTATTGAAAGTTGAAGAGTTGTCAAAGTCAGAAAGTCAATCCCTCCCACCCCTCCCCAGCCCCCTCCCCACTTCCCATTCTAAGACAAGCATAAAGGTTTCTGGTTTTCTACTCGAGAAGCACTACGCATGGCAAAAACTACCAGCAGCAACCACTCACTAGCAAGACTGATTTCTTGAAAAAAACAGTAACACTGCGCTGAGTGCGTTAGCATTTCCTAAGTATTTAAATTTGACATAAAAAGAGGCAACTAACCATGCTCATCATAATATTCGACGTGAAATGCGTTGCAGTGCTCGTACCTGCGATCGAGGTCCATCGACGGATAACGATTCTGCAATTATGCATTGTACAAGTACAGGTACCGATGGCCATTATAAACCACATTACCCAATACAATTCATCGGTCCTCTTCCGCACTCACTCGGCCATTACCCGGTATTGGATCATTTTGGGTTGTTCCCACAGAATAGTAATCATATCCTGAACTTCCGCATCAGAACTCCTCTGACACAGAGTTCCGAAAATTGTAACAGCTTTGTCTGTCAACTCGTTTTACACAAGACGACAATATTAGTAAGATTTCGTGAATGGTTGCTGTAAAGCTCCGGCTGCACCATGAAACTCAATGCTGCTATACCGTGTTCTCTTTCTCAGAAAATTTAATTTATTATTGCAGTGCTTAATCCAAAAGTAAGAAAAATTCCTATAAATGCTAGTACCACTCACTAAAACGTGATGCCGAAAAGGACAAGCAGTTCAAATTAACAAAATTAACAGAAAATATTAAGGATACCAAAATTGGCCTATCATGGTTATTACAGCCGATCTTGGTGTTCTTAATATTTTCCGTCAATGTCACTAAATTTGAACTCTTTGCCCTACGGAGGTGCCATATTAGTGATGTTAGCTGGATGCTTCTACAAGCCGAGTGCAGCTACATCAGCCTTTCGATGTTGGGTTGCGTACCTCCAGTTAACGTCCACCGTCTATTCGATTTGCGGCACCTCTTCGGAAGTGGTCACTTACTTTCCTGCGGATGCACTCACAAAATACACTCACACACGAACTCCATTGATTTTCAGCACTACGCAAACATTTAAAACTATATGCAAAACGAACAACAAGTTTTTTTTTTTTT